GCACAGAGCCCGACACAGGGCTCTATCCCACGAACCGTGAGATCGTGACCTGAGCCAGAATCAAGAGTCGGATGCTTAACCAACTGAGCTGCCCAGGCGCCCCTGAAATTTTGTCTTGTGATCTCGGGTGGGGCTTTCCTGGTGGCAGTCTTCTGCTGCTTGGGTCTCCAGAGCTTTTGCATTTGTTTTCATTGGGGTCACCAACAGGTGGATTTGTTTTTAGGTTAATTCTTTAGCTTCCCAGGCTGTACATGTGGTTTAAGTTCAAACACCAAAACCTGCATGAGGGCAGGTCTGAGGTTCTGAATTCACAAGGGTGACTTTTCTGTGTTGAGTCTGAGACAGACCTTTTTTATTGGCTGTCTGTGCGATGGGTGGTTTTTCTAGAGGATGTAGCATTTGACCGTCCAGGCTTATGGGGTGTAGGCAGGTCTCACTGCTAACTCCACCTCCATGGACCCAGTAACTCATCCCATGTCTCTGTGGGGTCATCAAGGCATAAGATACTTGGTGACTAAGATAAACAAACCCTGTAGGGTAGCAGTTCATGCAATAAGCTTGGTTTTTAGTTTCAACCTCATTTCTGGCCACTGGGAATTTCCCTTGCTTTTTTGAGAGCTCAGCATTTTTTTTTCTCATCATTTCTAGTTTTCTGTAGTCAGATTTTTGTTGTTGTTGTTGTTGTTGTTGTTGTTATCTAGGTTTCCTTGTTGGCAGATGTGAATATCTCTTCCATGCCCTTACTGACCTGTGGTCTGCCATCTTGGTGGAAATGGGTCTCTTTTCCCATCCTATAGATTCTAGGTCCTTCATCTTGGGGGAAGGATAGATCTCATCTTCTCTGTTATAGAACGTGTCTTTCTTTACAAGATCTTTGTGACTTCTTAACAACCCTCTGAATCAGGGAAGGTGATTCAGTGGTCTCGCCCTCCCTGAATTTGTCAAGATTGTGCCTTCCGTGGTTGGGGGTGTATAGACTGGGGCTGACACCTGGCAGGGGACAGATGAGCTTGGGTCCCCAGCCTCAGGGCCCAGTGACCATCCGGGCCTCTCTCTCACTGCTTCCAGGTATAATGTTGAGGTCAAACACATTAAAATCATGACAGCAGAAGGATTGTACCGGATTACAGAGAAGAAGGCTTTCCGGGGGCTTACGGTAAGGGCCAATCTACCCCGTCCCCAGTCTCCCAGAATCGAGGCAGGGCCCTCCCTGAAGCTCCATCTTAGGACCCCCCCCCCTCACCTTCACACACTCAGAGAAGCCTCTCAAAGAACACTGTGGAACAACTGGCTTTCAACTCATTCCCCTGATGGCTGATGATGAATGGCAATGAGCATTTATTGAGCACTTAGTGAGTGCCAGACATGCTGTAGAAAGAACTCCAGTGTTCCCTTAAGTCACTGTGGGACATCCCATTTCACATGCAGGTGAAATCGATGTTTTGTCCTTACCTTGTGTCACAGAAGAGCATTGGTCTTGTTTCAAGACCTCATCTGTTCAATGATCTTTTCACTGAGAATTCAAATGCCTGTTTGGTGCCTTGTAATTTTGGGCAATCTTTTAGACATTTTAAGCCCATGGGTCTAAGACACACGGATGTTACCTACGGTCTGTGGATCCTTGCCGAGCTTTGGGTCCTCTGGTAGAACATCCAGAATTTTGCACATACCTGAATGTATTTTTCTTGGAGGCGAGGGTCTCAGATTTCACTCGATCCTCCAACGGATCCTTGGCTTCCTAAAAGGTTAGGGACTGTTAATTTATTCTACAATTTTTTTTCCTCCCCCAAACTTGTTTCTGAAAATTTTGCTCCTCATTTTTTTTTTTTTTTATTTCTGAAAAATTTCCAAAAAGTTGCTGGAATAGTGAGAGGAACATTCATGAATCTTTCATGTACATTTACTAATTGTTACCTCTTTTGTGCCCTCTGTTAATCCCTCCCCGCCCCCTACACACATTTAATCTGCTGTATATAAGGGTAAGTTGCAGGTGTCAAGACCCTTCTTCAAAAAATACTTTAGCATGAATATCCATAAGAGCCAAGACATTCTGGTACCTCATCACAGTATCATTATTATACCCAGGAAGTTGAGCATTGCTGCAAAATTTATGTAATATGCAGTCCAATTTCCAAACTCTCTGATGGCCCCATATATATCTTTTATAGCTCTGTTTTTCCTCCAGGATATAATTAAGGATCACACATTGCATTTAGCTTTTGTCTCCTTAGTCTCTTTTCATTTGTAATAGTTTGTCAGTCTTTCTAAAATATCTCTCTCTCTCTCTCTCTCTCTCTTTTTTTCTTTTTTTTTTTGGTCTTTCATAATACTGGCATTTTTGAAATCTAGAACTCCAAACCATGAGACATTTTGTTTTGTCTTAGCCACTACATTCTATTGCCCCTTTCCTCCAGGGGACTGTATTCTGGATCTGCCCTTTTCCAGATATGAGACCCTGGACAAGGAACTTGGCTTCTCTGTGACTCAGTTTCTCCATTTTTAAAATGGGGGAATCATGAATGTATTCCTTTCACGGTTATTAGGACATTCTGATGATGTGTGATCGCACACTGACCAGCACATAGTAGGTGTTCAATAAACAGAATTATTATTCTTATTATAATAATTAATTATAAAAATAAGGTTCTTGATATCCATGGCGGGGGGGGGGGTTGATTTTGGTGAGCTGGGTATCAGGCAAGTTGATTATTTGTTAAATTTATTATCAAGTGAGTTGGCTGTTAAGAGAACCAGCTTTAGGCAATGTGATCTCTTCCCCATAAAACAGTCCTGGTTGCTCAGGAAGGGAATGAGCCCCCCGTCACGGGGAACAGTCCAGGAGTCACTTGCCAGGGAGGTCAGAAGAGGGATCTGCTGCACCCGAGGAGTTAGCTGTAACCCCTTCCAGCCCCGGCCCCTCATGGGCCGGCCCACTGGCAGAGCTTCCGTCCCTCTGTCCCTCCAGGAGCTGGTGGAATTCTACCAGCAGAATTCCCTGAAGGACTGCTTCAAGTCTCTGGACACCTGCCTGCAGTTCCCCTTCAAGGAGCCTGAGAGGAGAGCCATCAGCAAACCACCAGGTAGAGGTCAGTATCAAGCGCTAATGAGTATCTGTAACCTTCTCCCACAAAAAGGCAAAATTGCCTCTCTCACCCATAGGTTCACTGACATTAATTATCTGGGATGTTGGATACAGTGTGCTGTGAACTAAAATAATTACAACATATGCTTAAGGAACTTTTTCTTAACGCTTGCATTTGACTTCTCAAATACAATATCAAGAATTATTTAGCCTGTGTCTGTATTTCTTGTTTTCCATATTTTTCTTTATTTTTTAAATTCCTTACTCTGACCTACATTTCATTTTGCTGGAGTGCATCCTGAAGTTTCTGAATTCTTATACATCCAGAATTTTTTTTAAAAAGAGGGATTTAAAAATTAATTATTGTGGGGCGCATGGGTGGCTCACTCAGTTGAGCGTCCGACTTCAGCTCAGGTCATGATCTCACGGTCTGTGGGTTCGAGCCCTGCGGCGGGCTCTGTGCTGACAGCTCGGAGCCTGGAGCCTGCTTCCGATCCTGTGTCTCCCTCTCTCTCTGCCCCTCCCCCACTCTCACTTTGTCTCACTCTGTCTCTCAAAAATAAATAAATGTACAAAAAAATTTTTTTAAATTAATTATTGTTAAAATATTACGTTTTTGAAAAAGCAGCAGCAACATAACATCAGGACTCCAATCCTTAATGGAGGATCCCCATCACCCAGTGAAATAAATGTATCTGTCTGCACATTGCTGATTTGCCCTGATGTATACACGGATCTCAGCACATTTGCAGAAATACTACAAAGTAGTTTTACATTCCACAGTGTTGCTTAATATTTTACTATGAAAAGTTTACTATGAAAAGTTCCCCCCCCACCTCTTGTTCATCTTTCTTTTATTCCTCTTTTTATACCCTTGGTCCTCTTGAGGATAATTAATATTAACAGCGTAAAATGAATTTTTCCATAGCTTTCCTGTTTCTTTCATTATAGATATAGAGAAACCATTAAAAAAATACATAAATGGCATTATTTTCTAAATTTGGATACTGGTTGGGCTGGAAAGATGATTCCAGAAGTACAGTTGTGTCCTCTCAGGGCATCTAACCCTCTGCACAAAGAAGCATTGAGGGACTTTCCATCCTCCTGTTACCTTCCTGAAAGCAGACTGTTCCCAGATGGGGGGTGGGTATCTGCTCCAAGCCCTTTGCCCACTTCTGCTCTCCCCTACACAGCAGGAAGCACGAAGTATTTTGGTACAGCCAAAGCACGCTATGACTTCTGTGCCCGGGACCGATCAGAGCTGTCCCTCAAGGAGGGTGACATCATCAAGATCCTTAACAAGAAAGGTCAACAAGGCTGGTGGCGAGGGGAGATCTATGGCCGGGTGAGTTGGGGTGAATCTTGGCAGCCTGGGGAAAGGGCATGGGGGTGACCTGGCTATGGTGGAGGCGTGCTGGAATTGTGGAATGGAGCAGGTGGGGAGGTCTTCCCTGGTCAGAGGGGAGGAAAGGACATAAAGATTTCATTCCTTCACGTAACTTGCATTTATTTCCTGAAAGCCTACTATGTGTCGAACATTCTTCTGGGTGCTGAGGAGACAAAAATGAGGGCTGTTCAGGCACTGTCCTCATGAAACTCATAGTCTAGTGAAGAGAATAGACTTGTAACCAAGCAGGTACAATGCTGAGTGGTCAGGGTTGAGATGGGGAATCACAGGGCAGGATAGGAGCAGGTCAGAAGCACTTCAGAGAGGCCAAGGTTTTCCCTGAGGGATGAGTGAAGTTAGCCAGGTGAGAAGATCATAGAGGGGGTGGTGGGAAGTATTCCAGGCAGAGACCAGCATGTGCAAAGGCCCTGAGGTGAGAGAGTGGTTGGCATGTTTGGGGGACACGGAGGGAGGGATTTTTGTCTATCTTGTTAACTGCGGGGTCACCAGTGCCTGGAACAGCGTGTGACACATAAATATTGAATGCATGAAGAGGCATAATTGGAACTGACCACTCTTGCCTTTTGTGCTTTTTTGCCTGCTTGAATTCGGACTGTCAGGAGGGACCTCTAACAAATGAAGTTCGTTTCTACCTGGTTCTTATTTTTGTCTCACAAAGGCAGGGAGTCTGCTTTATTTAACCCATGAATTAATTCCTAGTCTCTAGAACACTGCCTCGCTTGTAATGGTTTCTCAAAAATATTTGTTGAATGATGATAAGGACACTGGTCAGGAGCTTATGTTCTACGGGAGGCATACATCAAATATGAAAAAACAGCCTGGATAATTGCTTAGGTGAACATTTTTTTTTTTTTTTTAAGAATTGTGGAAGGTAAGCTCAGTATGCAGTGGAGGACAGTTGGGGTTTGAGAGAGCCTTTTGGGGGTATATGGGAAGGTGTGGGCTATGATGCATTCACCCATCATTGTATCCATCTACTCATCCATCCATCCATCCACCCACCCGCCCATCTACCCATCTGTGTCCCCACCCGCCCGTCCACGCATCCATCCATCCATCCATGTGTCTGTCCATTCATCCATCCATCCTTTTAAGAAATATTTATTAATCTCTTGTGTGCCAGAACTATTCTAGGCTCTTGGGAATCTAATGAATAATACAGACAGGAATCCCTGCCCTTGGGGAGCTCATGTGGTAGCGGGGGTATGGAGACAGACAACAAGCTAATAAATAAGTAACGTATATAATGAACAAGATGCTGACAAGTGCTATGGAGAAAAATAAAGCCAAGAATAGGGATAAGGGGTGTTGAGGTGGGTGGGGTTTGCAGTTTTAAATGAGGTCAGGAAGACCTTATGAATAGGGTGACATATGATAGAGAGCTCTCTGGAAGGCGGGGTGAGGGGGGTCAGCCATGTATACCTCTGGGAGATGTACTTTCTGAGGTAGAAGGTGTGGCAGGTGCAAAGGTCCTGAGGTGAGAGGGAACCTGCCCGGTGGGTTGGGGAACAATGGGGAACGTGCAGAGGCTGTCCTAACCACTTCCTCCTCTCTCTCCAGGTTGGCTGGTTCCCCTCCAACTACGTGGAGGAAGATTACTCTGAATACTGCTGAGCTTGGCGCACTGGCCAAGAGACGAGAAACTCCAGGCTCTGAGCCCAGGATGAGCAGGCAGCAGGGCCAGGGGGCTGTGACAGGTCCCAGCGGGCTGAGCACCGGTATGGATGGTGGAGGGCCAGTGTCCAGCTGGCAGGGCTCCTGGGATGATGCTCTGCCACGGTTAATTTATAACACACCGATTTCCTCCTGGGGCCCCTCGAGAAGGCGGGGCTCGAGGCAACAGCTTTTAATAAAATGTTGAAAGGAAGGACTGTAGTTGTTCAGGATGACAGGGAAGGGTGGGAGAGGACATGGGGACACCGATGAAAGCCCTCTCCCCGATCCCTGCCTCCCAGCTTTATCATCTTACCGTGCCATTTAAAATAAGACCCGACGAAGGAAATGGGGCCCCCATGAGGCAGGGAAGAATTTTACACTCACAGATTCCAGATCACAAAAAGTGTTAACTCTGCTTTGTTTTTGCCTGTGCTGGGCCTTCACTACTCTCCGATTCTGCTAAGAGGTGGAGACCTCGTGTTAGTCCGTTTCCCCCCAAGATTCCAGGGCCTTTGGCACTGGGGTGTTGGGCAGACAGCTGGTACGTGGAGGTTCCCTATCTCACTGCCATCTGCAGACAGATGTCTTTGCTTTTGCTTCACCTCTGTTTCCTCTACGTCTTCCGTGTCTCTCTTGGCACACGCAAGACATCTGGCTGTTTGTCCGGAAATGCCGAGTGGAACCACTGTACTTCTTGGTTTATCTGCAATAGTCCTGGTGTAGTTATTAATCACGACCCTTTTCATTCTTCAAAGGGTCCTGGTTTGGGTGACAGATTGTACAGTCACTGTCTTAGGTTGGGCTTTTCCGGAAGCAGAGCCTGAGACAAGGATTTGGGTGCGCAAAGTTAATCCGGCAGGTGATCCCAGGAAGTAGCCAGACGGGAGAGAGAAGGGAGAAGGGAAAAGGAAGGAGGCAGTGCAGGGAGCCCTGATGGGCAGGTGACAACTGTGGGCTTTGGGGGCTTACCCTTGTTGGGGATCCCTGGAGGTCTGCGTAGGCCACGCGTTGCAGTTGAAGGACAAAGAGCTGGGGTGTGTGTTCGCCGACGTCTATCAGTCATTGATCGAGAACAGCTTGTATCTGGGCGGTGCGTGTGCTGATGGCTGGAGGACCACAGGTGTTTCTGGAGCTGCTGACCTGTTGGATATTGTCAGTACTGAGGAACTGTGGGTGGGGTGCTCACAGTGCCTGCGTGCAGCCATCCCTACCCAACAGGTGCCATGTGCAGGGTGCGGGGGAACGTCTGCAGGGCTTGCTAAACCCTGGGTTCCATAGGGCTCCAGGGAACCTTCTTCCTCCCGTATCACCCTGAAGCCACCTAAACAGGGGTGTGCGGATAGGATACAGGGATGCTTCTCTGGACCTGTTTCTTCTCCCCCACCTTGGGGAGCCACGAACTATCTTGTTGCAGGAAAAGTAGCTTCAGCGTGGTGAATGCTCTTACACATACATGGCCAGATTTTTTTTTTCTTTTAATTTTTAGACTTACTTAAAAAAAATTGTGGCAACATTTACATCATATAAAATTAACCACCCTAACCAGTTTTACGTGCACCATCCAGTACTGTGGTGTATATTAATTGTGCAAGCAATCTCCAGAATTTTTCATCTTGCAAAATGAAAACCCTGTCTCCTTTAAGCAACAACTCCCCAGTCCTTCCTCCCTCCAGCCCCTAGAACCCGCTATGGCCAGACTTTTATCAGGAATCCTTTGGGGCTTAGATTTTTTTTATATGTATATCTCTAAGTTTTATTTATTTATTTATTTATTTATTTATTTATTTAT